TGTTTTCTACTTTGTCCTTCTTTCACGCTCTCTCTCTGTCTCTCTCTGTATCTTTCTTTTTTCACTGCAGCTTATGCAAGGGTAATTCATAAAGTTTGTGAAGAAGAGAATTAGGAGAGGCTTATTTTGGAATAAAATGTTGATACTCATTTTTTCAAGGAATTATTTCAATGTATTTCAGAAGCAAAAAGATGCCAGAGAGACAGAGACAGAGAGACAGAGAGGAGAGACACAAACAGTAATCTTTCATTTACCTCTTCCTTGCAACACTTCTCAGACACCACAATAGCTCAGACTTAGCTAGACTAAAGACAGGAGCCAGGCATGAATCTAGATTTCTAGGAAGCAGTGACAGAGACCAAACTACCTAAACTATCTACTGAATTCCAGGGTGCAAATGAAGAGGAAGCTCGAATCAGGAACAGGGCCAGAACTCAGAACTAGGCATTCTGATGTGCTGTATGGGAACCTGAACTGCTACCCCATGCCCGCCCCATCCGCATGTTTTCATAGTACAGGTTTATTACGTACATTCTGAAGTTTCCCCATCCTTAGATTTAGAATCATCTGTGTTTGACATCATCATTAGTAGTAGTAGTAGTAGTCGTCGTAAGATAAAAGAGAGTGAGGGAAGCAGTAAAGAAGTTATACAAAGATTAGTATCTGCTGATTCACTCCACAGCATATCAGATTATGCCAGACCAAAGCCAGAAGCCAGGACCTCAGGTCAGGCCTCTCCAGCGGGTGGCAGTGACTGAACTGCTCAATCCACTCCTACCCGTGTGATGAGCAGGAAGCTAACTGGGAATAATGATTGGACTTAACCCAGGCACTGACAGGAAACGTGTATGTCCCTACTGGTGCCTTAACCACTGTATCAGAACTTGTCCCTTAAAATTTAACCCCATAATTGTGCAATGTCAGGAACTATAAATAATACACTATTATTTCAAGATACTGTCTAAACAGAGGCAGCAACAGCTTTGTTCTTATCAATATACGTCACCTTGTCAAAATATGCAATGTGTGTCCAACAAATGAAGTGTTTAACTGAATTTGTCCTGATTTCGGGAAAGAACGGCATCAGAGATGTCACGCCTGATCTGTTTACTTATTTGCTTTCCTCCTCTGGATTATAAAATCAGTAGATTTTTGTAGTTGTTCAAAGAAAGAAATGATGAAGTACTTCTAATATTTTAAAATATTTCAAAGATGTTTTGAGGAGCAAAACAGGTTGCAAAATCATAAGGACATAATATCAAAATAAAGGGTTTTTTTGTTACATTTAATCAAAGTCAAACGTTTCACATGATGATAATTTAAATGATGATAATTTTTTAGTAGGAACTGTTGGAAGTAGACTAAAATTGACTTTATAACAACAGTGTTTCAATGAAATAGCGAAGCACCCATGCACAAAGATGTATTTAAGATTCTCCATCTCCACTATTTATTATTTTGTGTGTCTCCTGTTACACTTCATTATCTACACTGTCAGTTTCACATTACAAATAGGTTACATCTAAAATTAATTTTGTTTTTCTAGAAGCTTTCAAAAATAATTTGGATAATGTCTACATAATTATTAAGTAAGTCATTACCACTTCTTCTTTAAGTAAATTATAACATGAGCATAAAGTGGTTATTTTAGTGGAGCAACACATGGATAAGAAATATTATGTAATATGTATTTGATATTGAGAGAAGATGATAAGAGAATGATAAGATAATAAGAGAATATTTGCATGGGAAGATATTATCCAACATCATGGAATGTTTGATAATATGAACAAAGAGATGCAGACTAAAATTTGATTTTTAAAGGTAAAGTATGAAAAAGAAGTCCAAAAATGTTATCTAAAAGCAAAATTATATTTAAGGTAGTCTTTAAACTATATCTATGAGAAAAAGCAATAACAGAATATGATTTGCTACTGTTTAAGATGTAATGCTGAGATATTGAGCAGATCAATCCAGTAACTGGAATGTAGCATTCATTCTGTTTGAACTTAGAATTCTGAAACACAAAACAATCAATTGGAGTTAAAATGGCATGGCACAGATTTACTGCTGAACCTTTTGAGAAGGTTATTTTTTTTTTCTAAGTCATAGGAAAAGATATTGAACAAATATTTAGCAGGTTAAATTCAAATAGAATTAGACTCACTTCACTTTTGGTTAACCATCTGAAAATGAATTTGATGGCTATTTCAATGCTGAATTGAGGATGTCAATAATCCGAGATTATCCAGTGTGGATGAAGCAAGTTCAAGTTTTCAAATGTGCAGTTTGTCTTGCACACGATTGATGTTTCAATTCCCCTCCTCCTTTTTAGGAATTGATAGACTCCCACATCTTCAAATATACACATTGAACCACATATATGGATTAAATATTTAAATATCCTTCTAATGTAGAGTTTCCACAATAATCTCCAAGAAGATAGTCAATTGTTTTATCTTAGGAAAGCAAAACCTCCCAACATAAATAAAGTGAACGTGATTATTTCCACTTGAGAATGGACAAAATTTATCTAGGAAACACTAACATTTGAGGATATTTCTCCAATAGGATACCTCTGAAGTTCTGAAACATTTTGCAAATTGAAAGCATTTTTAAGAGACAAATTCTTATGATGCCATTTCACTTCCTTGGGGATCATCTCTGTTTTTCAAATGATTTTACACTAAGCTATAAAACGATGATATCACCTAAAGCCAACATATGACTTTGCATTTAATAGGGAAACTATTTTATTCCTTAAAATATTTTCATATGATAAATTGAAGATACTAGAGAGATAAATGTGAAAGATTGTAAGATTCAGAAAATCTACAACAGGTTGAGTTTTTACTTATAAATCTGTGTCTGGCTTCTTTCTTAGTGCCCTTAAAAAGTCTAAATACTTTCTGAACATAAGTCATTAATTCTATAAATCTTTGTGAATCTGTAAAAGTGCTGTGTCAATTCAATAGTGACTACAGTCAGAATTTATCAGTGTTAATTTAGCCTCTGAGGAGCTTGTATTGTTGTGCAGCAAATTAAGCCACCACTGCCATTATTCCTGACATGACAGTTGGTAAGGAACTTCTGTCATTCAAACAGGAAACCAGGATGGATTTCTGACATTTGACCTATACTTGACACAACTCTGGCTGTGATTTATCTCAGAAGTCAAACAGTGGATGAAAAAAAATCTCTTTTTCACTCTCTCTTTCCCTTTTTCTATCTCTTTTGTTGTCTCTCTCATGCTGCTTTTAAATCAATCAATAAGTAAATATCTTAAAATGTAGATCTGTGAAATTGTCCAGCTAGTTGGCCAGGATAACACTGTAAATCTTTACATTCAACATTATTACAAAGATGAAAATGCTTCAATTTTTAGCAGCAAAAGCAGTGATAATCTATATAAAAGGTGTAAATCTATATAAAGAGTATAAATTTTAAAATACGGTGAAGTATTTGACTCACGAAGTTCAAGAGAACAGACTTTTAAGAGTAACATTAACAGATTTGAACTTACTAAATAATTTGATGCACAAAAGGATAGTAGAATAAATAACAAATCATTTGTCTCAAAGTGAATGTTTCACTTTAAATTCCAAAACTAGAGCATCTATTTTGAGGCACTTATGATAAATCAATGTATGTGCCAGATGATTTATGAAAGCTTACTAACATCTTCCCCCCTTTAATTAACTCTTGAATATAAGAAAATTATTGTTATTTAAAGCAGTGTAATAAAATTTTTAGCTTTTGGTATCTCTTTCTGATAATGCAAAGATAGGAAATAAAGCTACACCTTGTTTTAATACTGATAATTTAATCACCAATAGATTTTTTTTTTCTAGTTTGAAAATGATGCATTGACTAGTTGGTCTATTTAGTCTGTGATGTATGTTCCATTTATAATTTCCTTCTATGTGTAACATGGCCAACTAGACCTCCTCACCTGAATGCCTCAGTGCTCCTTCAAGATACATCAAATGTTTCAGACAACTCATTCACAGCTTAGTCTACCTTCACACATGAATCAATTTACAACACGGTAGGCATATACTTTTATCACCAAAGCATTAATTATTAGTTTTTTGGGGCAATGTGTAAACCTTAGTTTTTCATTGTATCTTAAGATCTTTATTTAGCACATACCATTTTTAACGATACTTAATTTAAAAGGGGGAAAGCAATAAATAACTGAACAAAAGAATAAGCAGAGTTATTAATCTATATGACTAAGTTTAACCCACATGATCTTCTAAACTGGGAAAAGTCATGTACTGCTTTATGTATTTTGTTTAAAGAAACTCATATTTAGAAAAGCTGAAACAAACAGAATATTGTGTTGGCTTATAAATTAGGATATGCCACCATTGTGAGTAAGATAACCGGAAAATAACATAGGTGGGTTAAATGAGGAAAAATGCAACCAGTTCAATCCAATTCGTAAAAACAAATGCATACAAAGGTTTAAACTTACACAGCCATTTCTCCCACCAGATCATCACCCAATGATGGGGCCTTGTTTTGATAAGCCAATGGCAAGAGACATTTAGTATCTTGGATTGCTCTAACCAACATGTGTTAACTTTAAAATGTCACTCATAAATCCAGGCTTCAATCTCATATGAAAAACTATGTGAGGGATTATAAATTGATCATTTTAAATCCTTTGGGATCTTGCACCAAATCATCTTTATACCAACTGTAAATATTAGAAGTTACAAATCATTAGATTGTGATGCCATGTTAATTATCTGAAGAGCCAACTTACCCAAGGCACCTGAAAGAATATTTCTGTACTCATATTGAGATATTAATTACTACATCATTGTTAAGTAAATCTTTAACATCTTATTTTACTAAAAACAGATCAGTAGCAAAAACGTTTATGTGCCACATTTGCTTTTCCAAAACAACTAGGATCAGCATCCCTGTGGCATGCAGTATGTAACACATTGTGCTTATATTAATGAATTCAAGGGAAGGCAACACCACTATTAGTAATAGCTTTTTATTCGGAGTCCTCATTTTCCAGATAGGTCACATTAAACACAGCCATTAAACAATAGCATTGAGATAAATCCATACAATGTATGCTGCTTTTGTTGTTGTTGTCCTTGTTCACCAATCACTTGGTGCAGCTAGGAACCTTATGGAGTGATGGGGATGATACGTGGACGGAGCTAACCTGAAAAACACTAGGGCCAGGAAAGTCAGACTGCAATCAGGTTTCATTCAATTATGTTCCTAATCAACACATCTTGATAGTCAAAACTCTCATTTGAATTTATGCTGTCTGTTGTCAAAAGAAGACAATTAGAAAATAATGAGTGGGCATATATTATGCCAGACCTCAATCTTTTTCTTGACCTCAGCAACTTCTACTCCATTAGACAGCAAACAGCTTTTAACCCCGTTCTAGTAAAGCATATTTCTACATTCCTTCCTGACTTGTTTTTAGGATGCCATTTTTTTAAATTAAGTAATGTCTTACAAGATCTCAGCTAATTTGGATAAAGAAAACAAGTCAATTTCCCAGCTAGGAATTCATTAAATTTATAAAGAAGTTAACAAATTTTTGTATTCTGCCCATAATAAGGATAAGGATGTCGGGTTAAGAAACAGTATGAAAGCATTCATTGAAATTGCATGATATGTCTCTTTAATGTTTACTTTGGTATCGGTAACAACTAACACTGGTTCTCACTACGTTTAACTTTGATTTAAAACTTTTTATCACTAATATTTAATTAAAAGTTTTGTTAATTATTTTTATTTTTAGTTCATCAGCAAAAAGCTCATTTTCTGTGCTTGTCTTCAGTTATGGAAGGACCTAACAAAGTAGTATGAAATTATTCCCTTTGAATGTATGCAATATTTTTCCAGAGCAGTTAGCATTTGAAAGATATTAATCAAGGTTTTTATTTCTTATTCTAAATTATGCTGAAACCCATGCAAATATCAGTTTGATCATGGGTCATCCGTTAGAGGAAGTGCTCCCAAAAGGTGTGATTTTGGCATCTCATCGGCTTCCTTGAAAGCCAAGCACCAGAGGTCTGTGATACAGGCAGTTGCCAGCCAAATGAATTAAAAGCAAGATTCCCTCAACTATAAAGGCTTAGTGTCCTGGCTGCTGAATTATCACCAACTTGTAAATAAATAATCACTACTAAACACAGAAGACGGGTTAAGTAGCGAGGGCTAGTAAACCACTGGTGGCAGAGAGCCTCAAGGAAATCTCTCACACCTTGGCACAACCAAATCTTAGAATCAAATCGTACTGTTTCAATGTCTTCAGAAACATACAGTAAACCGAACAACTAGTTACTCAGAGTTAAGCATGTTTAAAAATAAACTCCACTCTCTTTCTGGACTTGATGTACATACTTCTACATTTTACTGAGTAGTTGTCTGGCTAGTAAGAGAGAGGCAACATTCAGTAAGACTAAATGGAAATCAGTTTTCCATTAAATTTCCACTATCAAGCCAAATCAGCCTGTAGTCTCCTGGCAAAAGCAACATCATATAACAGAGACAACACATTTCAATTACATAAATTGTCCAAAATATAGTCAGTTAGGTTTCACAAGTACAAGATCCCTTCTTTTCTAATTCAAACATTTACGAATAATAAAAATCAAGAGTAGAGCTTTGGAAAGGCTGTAACTAGGAACCAAATATAGTTCTCAAGAGAATAAGGCTGATGGGAGTTGTCCACGCTTCCCTCTCAAAGCAATTTTGCCAACGAGGTACAGTCTAAAATCCTGACAGCATTGGACAGAAATATTTTCAGTAGAATTTTTTGAGGTTTAAAATTACAAAACTTAATTTGATTCAGTGTTTGTTTTTGCTTTTGCTTTTGTTTTAAATATAAGGATTTTACAACATGTATGCTGTTTCTACACTGGCTTGGTGGCCAGAAAAGAAGGCACAGAATTCTCCACCAGTTTGCAAATAATGCATTTTTCTGCTCCAGTGCACAAACAGCCTTTATTTAACTCAGCACCACATATTCGAAGGTATGGGCTCAAAACTGTTTGTCATGAAGCTGTAAAATGCCAAAACTTTTAAACGCTGAAGGAAAATGTCAATCAAGGCATTTTCCCATCTGCTGCTACTTCTGCAAGTGCTAATTTAATTTTTCCCAATTCCTGAAATTTGAGGTTTCTTAGCCTCATATGGAAGTAAGTTTGAAATGTGCTAAATGTCACAAGAAAAGGTGCAAGCAAATGGAAGAATAGGAGGTGTATTGTTCTCAAAGGACACCCATAAGAAAAAGCAGAGGAGCACTGCGATAAAAGAAAAACATTTTGTTAAGACCCAGATCTCTTGAAAGACACCATACAATGCAAATAACTAGTGCTGGTACCAGACATGCATTAAAGCAGTTTCATGATTTGAAAAGAGAATGAGAGCACACATTTGAACCACTTAAGATACTTTTGAGAACCAACCTGGTATGATATCTACATAGGCAAAGATTATAATCAAAATTGAAAAAAAAAATAGAAGAAACATGAAGTTTCAGAAATTGGTACAAATGTCATTCTTGTGATTTAGCATGACTTTAATAAAAGCTTGTACAAGGACTTGCACATAACTGTGACTAATGGATGTATTTTTTTTTTTTTTACCTTAGCTTCATCAGCTCACTCAAACACATTTTGAACAGATTATGTACTGTAGTACTTGGTAGACTATACATTAAACAAGAGACTCTGCTCTGAGGCACTGCTTCCCACACTCCATGGGGAAAAGGAAGCAGGAAAAAACAAAACTCATAGAGTTCGACAGCTACCGAGGCAACACTTGCCATTTACAATATAAGCCCAAATATTTTTTGCAACACAACTATATATTAATTTAATAAAATACACAATATAGCTCTTATACACTCAACAATTTGGCTCATATGCACGGAATCTGCAATAAATCAATAAAAATATGTCATTTGATGTAAACACATTGAATCTTCTTACATTTGCACATTTAAATGGTTATGTGATTGGTGTATGTCTAAGACATTTTTACTTTCCTGAGCTATTTTAGTGTCCACAAATGAATAAAATGCATTAATCACGCTAAATCACTCAATGGTAACTACTTTTCAGGGCTTTTCTATGTCAAATTTAAAACACACTTATCATGATTCATATTTTTGTTGGACACTAAAACGCTACATAGGCATTTTAAATCTTAAATTTTTTTCTTCTTTTTCTTTTAATGAAATGAATTAGTCTACGTGTGTGCAGGACAAAATGGACTATATCTTTTTACATTTAACTTTTATACGGAATGAGGCATCTTACAAATGATCAAGGGTTTTTTTGTGTGTTTTTCATTTTTATTTTTGTTTAATGACATGAAATGTTCTTCATGTTTATATGTGTGGCAGGTAACTTTATACAGAAATGTTTACCACAAATGTGTTAATGTTTGGTGTAGCTTGGACTACTGCAAGGTCTCTTCGGGACTCTCAGTAGAAGCCTGTGATGACTGCTAAAATCCACCACAGATCACGAATTCTGACCCTGCATTGTACGGGGTTTATAGGTAAACAGTTAAGTCAGCGTAAATCACGGAGGACAGTCTTGAGAGTGATCAGAAATACTTTGATTCTCACACTGCACACCTTCCTACAGATTGTCAAAAGGTGACTTGCTTCCTCCTTCTTGGTCTTCTTTCCTTGTTCTTCTCTCCTTTTCCTCTCTCTCTTCTTTCTTTAAACATCATTAGTTCTGTCCTATTTTAAGTTTGGTCAAAACAAACCCATTGTTACCTCTGAAAAAGAAACAGCAGTGAAAAGGACATACTTGTGGGCACTTCAGATGTTCACTAAAAGCCTTAAAGCAGCATTGGTTTTTCTTCTTCCCTGTAAAATGGGCTGTCACCAGGAGGGATCATTTATAAATCAGCAGAAGACACGAGAAAATGCCAATGCTTCTTTGTTTCTCACTTTCTCACAGCCACAGGGTCATTTCCCCGGCAGTCCTGCAAAAGCTTATCAATTTCTCGCACAACTTCTTCTGCATCCACCGACTCTCTGCCCAGATCCCTGTTGGGATGGTCCAGCTGCTCAAGAACAGTGCCCATCTCCGAGGAATCCCGGCTTGCTCGGGAATGCACATCTGCCAAGACCCTCGCCATCTGCTCAGAAGCCAGGAAGGAAGGGTCTCTCGGTTGCTTACTGGGAGACAGGTACTGACTGTCAGTGGGTAAATATTGACTGCTTGCTTCGGCGAGGGCTCCTGCTTTTGCTTCACAACCATCCAAGGAGCCTTTTGTCGAGGCGCAAGGCTCGATGCATGCCTTGGTTGGGCTGCTTGATGCTGAAGGGACCTCTTGGAGGAGAGGGCTCAGGGCACGTTTGGCTTTTAAATAAGGTTTAACATTGGCAATGAGAATAGTGTGCTCTCGCTTGTCTTTTCCAAATGTACAAAAAGTCTTTTTCCCAGTGGGATTCACAGTTTCGTAAGTCTCAGTCTCAACATTAGCTTCCACGGTGGGTACAAAGAGATTTGTGCGGTAATCAGCATTTTCAGCCTGATTGGCTGCAGGGAACTGTGGCATCCAACACCTGTCAGAATGACCAAGCACTCGGCATTCATCTGTGCAATTAACACACTCTTCTGGTTCTGTAAGACAAAAAAAGAAAACAGCAAATCCAATCATTATTTTCTTTTAAATTTCGACAGAGGCTGTGATCAACTCTCAGTGGGCTTATTTGACCTCTGCACTCTTAATTAAAAAGGAAAATAAAACAATAATTAAAACATTTCATGATAGTTGCATAAACCTGCTGGTTGAGACAATAGATTTATTTTATCTATTCTCTAGTTATTAACGAATTCCCATAGCCTAGGAAGAAGCAAAAAAAAAAAAGGCCATTGAAGAATAATTCTCAATAGAATAGAGCTCACTGTCATCTGAACTCCTGGGGATATCAGTAAAGTTTCTGTTCTCTGTACCCCATCCTGGAAACAGTGCACTTCAAAAGGATTACCAAGATTTTTTTAAAATCAAATAATAGGGTAAAATTGGATTGAAATCTTTCACAGCAAGTCCTATGCACTTTTTTAAAAAAATGAATTTTTTTCTATTTGCTTGTAATTTTTGGAGGGGGGTGACAGTCGTGAAATAAAGGTTTTCCATAAAAAGCCAACTTTTCCTATGGAGAATGGCAAATAGACTTTTCTATCAAAATGTATTATGAATGTGATTGTTAAGAAGTGCACGCTACACTTTTATGAGATATGCATATGATCATGTAATCAGTCATCTTCACATCAGCTTACTTTTGTTCTTTGTGTAAGTAAGTGAAAATGGATTCACTCAACAGGAATAGTCCAGAATAAGTGACAAATTTTCTATTTTAAATAATAATTCATTCACTACAGTTTTTTACATTTCTCCTTCATCAATTCACATCCAGACAGCCTACATGCTGAACAAGGAAATGCAAAAGAAAATTCCTTCATTATGACAATACTTAAATACTTTCATTGGCTCCAGCATTTTAAAGTGTGACATTAAATCTCATCTCCCCTGTTGCATCTTACCTCTCCAAACATTTGTTCTCATTACATTTAATGATCACTATAAAATCTGAGACTTTCAGCAGAAGATATTCACAATTTAAAGAACAGAATTCCTTATGCATTTAGGACTTCTTGAGATTGTCTTTTAGTTAAGATAGATGATCCCTACAATATTACAGTATCTGTTCAAAGGAAAAAAAAAAAACTCCCCATGGAAGATATTTACAACAAAGAGTACCAAGTTTAAAATCATCACTATATTTACTTAATTGCCTTTTAATCATAAATGTGTTTTATTTAAAACCCATAAATATAATTCCTGATCAAAACCACACACCTGTTTTATCTCACATGGTTTTCTAATTAAATAATTTTTTATGAAACTTTTCTAGGAAGTAATAAAAACTGTCTTAACATCTCAAAGTTGCTGTAGTAGTTCAGAGTATATGTCTTGTACACTTACATAATATTAGACATAAATTTGGTTTCCATCTTATTTTTCCCATTTGTAAAATAAATATCTCCCTTTAAGTATATGAAATAGTCACCACTGAGCATATATAACTGACATGAATGCTAAAAAATAGTCTCAGAGTGAGCCATGTACCACAGACAGAAAGGCTAAGATTTGAAACATTGTTGTATGACAAAAACAACAGCAAGGGCAGAGAGGCATAAAATATCTTCTAAGAAGATTTTTTAAAAACATTCACATTACAGCTGAGACTAGAAGAAAAAACAAAGCCAGAAAAATTCACTCAGACATAAATTGTTTAATCTATTCTTCATGATAATCACAATTACCTAAATCTATATCTGTTGTTAGGCATTAGGCATAGCAATATCATTTCTTCCCACCATTTTTATCTATCAATATCACAGTAGAAGACTTCACAACCTATTTCACTGGATAATGCTTTTATCTGTTAAAGCCACATTTTTTCCTTTAATTCATTTACAACCAAGGTACTTCCTTTCAAATATGCCAACATCATTTTATTTTCCAATATTGACTGGCTTCCATTTCAACTGCTTGGATAGTCAGCACTGAATGAATTCAAAATGAATTTAAGAGGCAAGAGACAGAATAATGCAGATGTACGAAAGTGTGAATTGACCTTGAATTTGAAACTACCAACATAAAATGATTGTTTGCACTTTGCAGCTGAAACTACACAGGCTTGAACTTGACTCCTGTATGTCACGCCCAAGGAAGGAAATTTTGAGTATTGATTATGAAACATTAGAAGCTGTTCACCTTGTGATTAGACTGTAATTTTGACAGCAGCAGTTCAGAGATAGTGAAGAAAATCGAATGGATACTTTGTACAAACAGCAAAACCTATGAGCACAAAGTGAACTACAAACTAAGAGTCAAGTGAGAATTTATGGACAGTGGGATCATTTCTAAAGGCATATAAATAGATAGATGGATAGGTAGACGCAGAAAACAAGATACAAGTAATGTACCACAAGTGACTATACACAAAAAGACAAAATGAATATGGTAGAAAGAAGGGAGACACGATGGAAAGGGAAACAGAACAGGGAAAGGAAACGAAAAGACATTGGGGGACTGATGCGGTGAAGGCAGAGAAAGAGGATAGACAGAAAAAGACAGAGGACGGAGGAGAAATAGAAAAAGGGGTTAGACACTGCCATAAAACGGGCGTTGAAGACAAGGTAAGTTTCATCGGGAGGAATTGTGCTAGTCATACCTTCTACTAGACATTTAGAGACCTCTTAATAATTGAGGTGTGTTGATAAATAACGGTACATTTTCTCTTGCTCCATTGTTGTAAAGGTAGACAGTCTAAGCGTATCTTAGGGACACTGGACATGGGAATGGCTGCATCGAACCGTAAGCCATGCCAATGAAAAAGGAAGCAAATGCTGAGGATAGTAAGTACTTGCACAGATTAGAGACTTGTGTCATAAAACAAGTTCAGAAAACGTGGACAGAAACAATGAAAACACAATAATTGACCCAATATTTACTTTTCCCTTCTGATTTTGTTTTCAACCTTTCCTGAACACAACATCATCACCCTTTCACAAAAGTCTCCCCTTGTCAAGAAAGATGGAAAGAAATCCAGTGGTATGCAAGTGAGAAGCTAAGAGAGCTGTATGTTTACACTGCAAACAGGGAACTATTCAATAGTTGGAAGTTAGAAATAGGAGGAAGGCTTAGAGTAGCTAATGTTTTGAATGTAAAATTATGTGAACTATCATGCTGCAATGAAGTGACATGGAACATGTCTTTAGTATTAATAATTATCTTCCTCACTAGTTACATTATTATACACACTCCAAAAAGAAAAAAAACCATAAAATAACCACAATTAGCTCAATTTTGCATCTTAATTCATGCAATATCATTGCTAATCATGTAATCAAATCATTATAGTACTTGCAGATCAGCTTCACAATCAGCCACACACACACACACACACACACGCACAGGATTTTGGTATGTATGTCGTAACACTGAGCTTTTTCCTAAATATTGCCTCCTCTAAATCTTAACATGTTAGCTAGTGAATTTCAGAATATTAATTCCTAATATTTTCCACAAGAAAAATACTGGTGGCTTAAAAGAAAATTTCTACATTTAGTAAAAGGAATTCCATTTAGTAAATAAGATAATATTTTGCTATTTTAATAATAATAAAAAAAGTGGCAGCCTGTCTTATTCCTCCACCCAGATAGAGATTTAGTTCAGGAATCCTGACTTTAGCCAGACCCAACCCTGAAGACTGTGGGCATATGTGGAGGAAGCCAGAAAATGGAAACTCTTTCACTTTGCTTTTCAAGTAATGTTTTAAAATAAGTAAATAAAAATACACATATTTATGTGCATATGCAGTATAAATTTAGACTTAAAATTACCAATAAATAGCATTTTTTTATCTTGTGCTACAATTATGGACATAAAATATGTGGTTAGATCAAGAGCTTTAGTTCTGATTTCAGAATTTTATGTAATTAGAATTGATTTGGACATAAAGACACTCGCAATATGCAAATTCTAAATTGCTAATTTACCTGAAATTTCTCCTTTCCTCTAAGAAATTAAACTACTCAAGCTTTTGGATATCAAGCAGGGTATCAATTTGTGTGAAAATACATTTTGACAGAAACTAACCTGCCAAAGAAGTTTTCCTAAATTCTATCTACCTGAGTAACAATATGCTTAAGTAAAACAGAAAATTAGCTGCACTTAAATTATTGTATTTTACTAGTCTTCCTCAAAATTTACCAAAATTTAACTTGTATAGTGTGATTTTAACAATAACGTTAACACATCATTAGACATGTAAAAGCATTTCAATCAGTGAGGATGTCAAAATTGACCACGTGAAAGACTTACATTTGAAGGAAAACATTTCTTAACTCAGGAAGAATGAACAGAAGTTAATTGTGGTTACGTAAAAAATATGTACCTTGGAAAATTCAGAGGAAGCTTGTACCATTCGATTTTGTGGAGGAAACAAAAAAGGATACATCTTCAATTTTCTTAGAGTGCCTCTACCTCTTTATTGTGTTTTGTTCCCAGGAAGGTATGTGTCATGAATGAGAAGATTAAACTTATTTATTCAGTCTTCAAAACATTTTAAAACGCCACCCAAAAAGAAAGTGAAGGCAACTAAAACTAAGGCTAAGTCTAGCCGTAACCTCAGCTTAGCGAAAGGTTTGTGAGATTTTTGCCTCTTAGTTTCACACTTACCTGTTGCCTCAGGACTCACATATTTGTGCCTGAGAAAAAAGCATGTAGTTTCATCTAAAAGTTTCAGAATCATATGTGGCATTTGCTTCTGATTTGCTGTTTTAATAGTGCAAAAGCCTTTTGCATGGAAATTCCAAATCCAAGTTGCATAAATCAAGGGCATCAATGGAGACGTTCTGAGGTGATGTGACCATGGGAGAAGAGTAGTTAAGAGAAAATATTTTGTGTTTCATGATTGTCACAACAATTTTTTTATATTTTTTCATAAACAGGATTGAGCAGGAACAGTAGTATTCTAATAGTACCACAGGTCGGATGCTTCTTTCAACAGCATCCTAATTAAAGAGCTGTTTCCAAGTAGACAGTTCTA